GTGAAGAGGACTGCACAAAAGACCCTGGGTCATTTTGTGCTGGCAACCAACTGTGTACACACTGAACCTGTGCATGTTTGTGTTCCATTTAGAAAACACATGCAAAAGAGTGACTGTGGGCACTTGTGCAAATTATTTTGTGCTCTTAAACCAAAGGAGGGTTAAGCTTTACTGAAACCCTTGAGCTAAGGCACGTGTTGCACATGCTCAGTGTACAAGCAGAAATATGTTTACACTGAAGTTAATGAGTGATTTTAAAAGTCAACTGCAGCACTTCTCACACGGTACGCAGTGTATGCACTGTACGGTACACTTACGAGAAAGATGCTGTTTTCTTTAGTAATGCATCATCATCTGTGTGTCTTCAGTAGCAGTGCGTTTTGTACTTCAGTGTACATATGCAGTATGTACATGTATTTTCAAGTTACAGTGTACATGTATATCATAAGTTACGGGTAATTTGGCCGAATTGAGAACATGGAAAGGTAAAAAAAAAGGAAAAGGAAATGAAAAGTTTTTTAAATCAGATATCCTACGGCAAAAAGAACATTGTACAAGTCAGTATGAAGTTCGCACGTTAACCCTAACCCTCCCCAAATCTTCACCTGTTGGAGGACTGAGGAGTGTGAGGGTTAATCTAACACTACATGTACATGTATTGCTGAAACTTTGTGTTGCCTGTCTTGCTGTAGTGTGCCTGGTTATGCACTTGTAGCCACAACAGTATCTCGTTTGTTCATTCTATCGGCCACAGAGCAAAGAGTCCCATGACTGGTACTGCTGTAAGTGTCACGGCCCAGGGGAGGTCCTGTGCTGTGGGTCTTGTTACCGTGTGTATCACCCAGATTGTGTGCCAGAGGGGGTTGACCTGGGCAACCTGGGTTCATCCTGGACATGTCCGGTCTGCAGGGTAAGTCACATTTCACTTGTTGGATATTATAGGGGAAATCCTCTTGACTGCTTCGCACATGTATACTAGAACACAGACTTAACCCTCCTATGCTGAAG